TTTATCCCTCCACCTGCTGCAACCCTGGCCAATATAGAGGACCTGTAAGACATAACATCTTGGGCTCTGGTTTTCAGAGCACCCATGGAGCTCACTGATTTCAGCAGGACTTGTAGATGCTCAGCAGCTCTGGAAACCAGGACTTCTCCATGTCTCAGAAGAACTCCATTTCTATAACAACTCCACTCTTTCTGTCCCTTAGTAGAGAAGATGTTGAGCCCTGGCCATTGGAGAACTAGCTGTTCTTACTGCCATAGTAGGAATAGCAGGTGCTAAAAAGAGGAGTTAAAATAGGTACCCACCACACATTGCAGTTCAATCTGTTTTGAAGCACACACAGTAAATAATAATAATAAACTATGACGGGAAAATCAATCAGTACAAATGAAGCACCGTCCACGCTGTATTCCAGGCTTCTCTATCTCACTGTTAGTGCTTTGATTAATGAACAGCAATCTGATAATGAGGGGAGCAGCTCAGCACCAGGGTGTAGTGAAGCAGCAGCGCTACACAGGCAGAGTTCAGACTAACCAGCATGAGGCTGTCTTTGAAAAAAGGCCCATTTATTCCAGGCTTCTAGAGAGAAAAAGACCATTAGCACAGGCGCATCCCAGGGCAGAGTTCACCGGGAGCAACGCTGGCGGGAGCCACTTGGTTTTCAGTTATGTGTTATACCTGAATATTTAGAGGCACGTTCTGATCCCCCTAAATAGAACTGTGCCCCACTAGCAGCCCCATAGAGGGACCTGAGTACAGGAATCAGAATCTGGCCCTAACTACTGTATTTAATCATAAATTTACATGGGTGTGAAGAACTCAAGATAGGCCAGAGAAGGGACTCAGCTTAATTTCTTCTGGACCATATTTAAGACCAGTTTGAATGAAGTGCAAATCAATGGAGTTATGTCCACGTACATCAGGAATGAACTGCGCTCTTTTCTCCTCTCTCTTTCACCTTATTTTGCTTAATTGTGGATTTTTCTTCACTTTTTACAACTTGGCTTCATTTTCTTCCTTCCCGTCCATTCTGGTCTTCTCCCAGCACAAAGCTGGGGCCCAGTTCCTTGTATGTTCTGGCCTTCTCTGCGCACTGTGCTGGGACTTAGCCCTTGTACATTCTGGCCGTCTTTGAGTGTCACGCCAGGAACTGGCTCCCTGCATGTGTTGGCCCTTTCTGAAGGCCGCACCAGGACGGGAGCCCTGTGAGTTCTGGCTCTACATGGGCTCTGGTGGGACTTAAGTGTGCTTCCATGGGCATTTCCTCACTGTTTTGCTAGAGCCATAATAAATGAAATTGCTGCGGGCGGTGCTGGCGATTCCTTTTTGTTTCTCTAGACCCCTTTGTTGGCAAAATGAACAGGCTTGTAGAGCACTTCTCTCCTGAGAGCGCAGGGAGCAGCGTGCTTAGTGAGGTACTTATCAGAGGAATATTTATGGTGACTTTAGCTCAGAGAGGAAGGGACGTTCTCCCGGGGATCAGAGGTACCTGCCCCTTCCTATCAAGAAATGCTTCCAGAGTCTACTTGTCAGCCCTGCAGTTAATGACAAGAGAAGCTAATGAGAGAGGGTACAAGACAGACGCCATCCTTGTCCTAGAGTGCGGTCTGAATTCTTCCCTTCTTGTTCTGCATTTTCCCTTCTCTCCACCTTCTCCTGAAGCTGCTTACCCCTGTGCAGATTGAAATAGCAACTTCATGTGACGCAGGACACCCCCGACCAAAGCTGACAGGTTCTGGTGCAGAAAAGGGGAAACTAACTCTTTTAGCCCTTTAGTCTGGGGCCCTGCCCCGTGATGAACTGCGTAGGTTGAACTAGCCCCCACATCCTTCCTGATAACCTCCAACCTGTTGTCTGCTATTTACATACTAGCTGATTCTGGTGCTGCAGTTACTTTGCTCGCCGGCTTGTCCTGTCTTGTTATTCCCCCCAGGCCTGATCTGCAGCCTAGGATTTTCTATATGAAAGCACCACCTCTCCATCTCTCATGAGGTCTGTAGTTTGGAATAAAATCAATACTGCTGTTTGTTGCTAAATTGACAAACGGCTTTTGATGCTAAGATCTGATGAAGCAGCCGGGCTGGTATAGATATTTACACTCAGAACAGTTTTTCTATCACCCACCATCTGTTTTTAAAGGGTCTTTTTTTCCCCAGTGACTAATGGCGCATTTAACCCCCGAGAATCTGCTTGTGATCTGAACATCAGAGGGTTGCTGCAGCGAAGGAACAGAAAGAGACAGCGGGGGAGGGAGGGTGAGTGTGTGAAACAGGACTCATACGGGAGCTTCCTGTTGTTCTAAACTTGGCTTACGGGTAAGGTTTTCAAGTCAAACTAGAAACCTCACCTGATAGGGCAGCTGCCACTCAAGTGCTAGATAGGAGTATCAGAATTGGCATGTGTCTTCATTCAGAGCCTTGAGCCTATTTCAATGTATCACTCTATATATCTATGTGACTCAGCATTGTCCTGTGGCTAGGGCACGAGTCTAGCAGTCAAGAGACCTGGGCTCTATTCTTGGCTCTGCCACTGACCCGTTATTTGACCTTGGGCAAGTCCCTTCACGTCTCTGTACCTCTGTTTTTCCCATCTGTACAATGCGGATAGCAATACCTTCTTTTATAAAGCATTTTGAGTTCTACAGATGGAAATCCTAAGAGCTAAGTGTTATTGTTCATCTTGGAGACTCAGGGGTGGAGGCTTGGGGCCAGATTTCCCTAGAAAGACTCAGGGGACAGTCTCTGAGGGCAGAAGGAAGCATCACGTGGAAGGGTCAAGGATGATCCCTGAAGGCTAATGGTAACTCTGCAGAGAGATCGAGTGCTATCTCCAGAAGTATAGGAAAGCTCTGTGTGCCTTGCAAGATTCTACGAGCAGCACATTGCAGTGGCTGAATTAGATTATCTGTTCAGGAAAGGGACAGACAGAATGGCCACACTGGTTCCATCAGGTATTGTGTGGGAACTACAGAGCTCTGCCAATAGAACAACTACTATTCCAGATTGAGACGTCTCCACCGGATACTCTGTTAACATGTGGCTAGATGGCCATTTAGCAGCAGGGGCAAAATAACCCAATTTGTTTCACATGTTGCAAAAATCACATTGGGATTCATGTCTCGCAGGTTGAAAGACTGTTGCATTGACCCACTGTAGATTTCCCCACCCACCTTCCCGCCTTTCCTTGTGTGGATAAATCTGATAAAGCCAGTTCTCTGCTGCGATTATTGTTGTTGATTACCCCTCCCCGATTTTAATCATTTGGTGTCGCAGATCGCTGCACAGTATAGCTCTACAATGAAGGACCCTAGGGCAATACAAGTGCACTGCAGGCCCTGAATAGATGCATTTATAGATGCGCTGGCCCACAAGAACTTTGACAACTGGACAAGGCCGTTGAAATGGGAAAAACAAAAGAACTTGTAAGAGAAGAACCAAGCATTTAGTGGCTGGCAGTTTTCTTGTACATTTTAATTTTGCTCAGTGGGTAGAACAATAGAAACAGCGCTACATTAAAACAGAAATTGCAGTGCTGCACCTTGCCTTACAGGCCCTGTAACAAGACTGTTCTGATGTGTGCGCACATGTAACTCTCCGATTTACAGGGGGACTAGATGTACAGAATAGACCCATCAGGAGCAATAATCACTGAACAGAAATTGCAAGTGATTTGGGTTCCAAGGATGTTTATTTCTCAGAGCTGCAAGTCTCTTAGCACTCTTAAAAGGGGGAGTAGTGAACCAGCCATAAATGCAATCAGTAGGTCGAACAGTATGGCTAGATTAAATTCTAGTGCTCCAGCTCATTCAGCATTAAACACAGATGCAAAATCCTAGATTGTCACTGTCGCAGAAGCCCTAAACCCCTGGCTGTGCCTTGCGTCCCCAGAGTCATCATGAGATGGAGTAATTACTGCTGCTTAAAAGCCCCAATTTTACGTAGCCATTTGGCATGTCCTAATCCTCCTGAGAGCACTGGGTTTACACGCAAATTCTGAATCCCACAGCACTGAATTCAGTCTGCCTGGATACAGCATTCTGATTTCAGCACTTGGTCACTGCAAGAGTCCTCCAACCTCAGGCCATGAAAATGGTCCAGTATAAACGAACATAAATATATAAGTGACGTACAGACATTTCTATAATAGTTGCAGCTGACCTCCATCTAAACTTTGTAGGGAGGAGTCTGCTTTGTGTCAGTTCTCCCTCCCTGGCAAATTGTGCTACCACGGCTGTCTGCTACTGCAGAACAATTGACAGGTTAGCCTCCAGCCAGCATGCTGATGCAAAAGAAAATCAAATACTGTGTAATAAAGTTTGCATGAAATTCTTACATGCAACAATTCCCCACTGTGCTGACCTGTATGATACTGACTTATATAATACAGCATAATTTAAGAGTTGGGCAAAGCAGAATGGAAAGTTGTATTTAGTTTGCTTTTCTTTATTATCATAAATACTGCCCCACATCTAATGACTGTAAACCACTATTAATGTTACTTTAAAGTTATATAAATAAACGTTAATACCCCACCCATGACTTACTGGTACTTTACCAAAAATATAGTAAACAAAGCTTGTTTTGCTAGAGTTGTGTGGGAGCCAGAATTTTTGTGTGTGGGAAATTCCATTATTTTTGAGATATGTTTTCAGTCTAAATTGGAGCAAAACAGAGAATTTCAAAATTTCCTGTGAAATTAAATTTTTGAAAATGTTTTGTTTTGGGTCAATTGAAACATTTCATTTAGATTTCAACTTAAAAAAATGAACATAAAAATGTCAAAACCAAAAATCAAAACATTCCATTCTGAAAATGTCAAAATGGAATGTTTCAACATTATCAAAAGGCTTCATTTTGATGTAATGACATTTCATCGAAATTATCTTCCTTCTGTAGAATGTTTCCATTTTCCACTTTTTGGTGGAAAACCATACCATTTTGAAAATTTTCGACCAGTTCTTCTTTTGCAATTACTTAAGGGTAAAGAAATACATTTTCCAACAGTTCATTTTTCAAAAAGATTTTTATTTCCTGGTTCTGTAAGTGTTCTTAGAGAATAAATAGCTCATCAAGTGACAAGGCAATTACCTTGGATGTTGGAAATCTCACCTTTTCAATTTAAGATTTTGAAGAAAGTTGAGACATTTTCCAACTTCCAATTACAACTTGTATTTTAAGAGTTTGATGTAAACTTTGCTTACTTACTATAGGCCTATACAAATCAGATGCATCTTCAGTAGAGATGGCCTGAGCCAAATCTCCAGATTCAAACCCTGGATTCCAGTTTGAATGTGGTATTGCAGCTTGAATGTTTCTTTAATGGACTGCCTTACTGATATTATTTACTTGTATTGTGGTAGCACCTAGAAGCCCCAATATTGGATCAGGACCCCCATTGTGCTAGGGGCTGTACAAATGAAGAACAAAGAGAAACTCCTTGAGCTAAAGAGCGAACACCCTGACATTTGGGAAAGCTTGGATTCTAATCTGGATTTCAAACCCCCACACTCAGGAGAGTTCAGACTGGGATTTTTGGCCCATCTTTATTCTACAATAAATTAAACCAATTTCCAATTAGTTGTCTGGTGGGCAATTTGCTTAGTTATTGCTCCTAATCCCTTACAAACTCTGAATAAATGCTGTCTGCTACCCAAGAATGATTAACAGATTGGCTGTGCTCAAAAGAATGTCTGGGTGACTGAGGGAGGTGGGGTTGGTCATTTGAAAAGATACATCACAAATAAGAACTAGATGAATCAAAAACCTGGAACTGAGCCCCTGCTCCAAGGGTGGATCTCAAACCTATCTCTGGAGCAGGCGGAATTTGAATACAGATGCTGAACCCCCTCAAATTTGGAAAAAACCTCATTCACATTTCAAGCCTGCATGTTTGCATATAGGTTGCCCCATTACAGAGAGGTGACACTTGGATCAGGATCCAGACCCTCAGCTGTGTATGTTGTCATGGATAACTCCACTGACTTCAATGAGGCTATGGCAATGTACACCAGTTCTGGCTCTGCCCCTTGAGTTCACATCTGCGGATCGGATGGGGAACAAAGCTTCCAGCCCGTCTCCAGTAATTCAGCCTGGAAAAATGGATGAGGATTCCACGTACTATACAGGTTGCCAGACATCTGCGTAAAGCAATTGGGTGTAGTAGAACTGGGAGCTCTGCCTGTTGAGCTACGGATGACTCCACTAGTTCACACCAGCAGACGCTCACAATTCCGTACAATATCAACAGCCTTGGAAATCCCAGCAGGTGCGTTAAGGTGCCAGGAGACTGCATCACTTCCATGGAGTCACTCCTTTTACAAAAAGAATTCGTTCTATCATCTCATCCAACCTCAGTCTCTATTGCCACCTTCCCATAGTCTCTGCATAAAGATGGTTCTACGCTAAGCCTTGCGGTCTCAGGACATTACAAATACCTGGAAAATGCCTGATATTGCCTTCAGCTCTTGTAAGTGACAAATGCCCTCTAGAGAATCATGCAATGTGCTGAGTTCACCAGTTGGTTGTTACCCCCTGCCACAGAATGGTTGCATGTCATTGCATATGTATACTATAATCTGTAAAGAATTTGAGGATTACAAACTACTAGTAGTGGTATAATCTCTCTACTCCCCTACACTGCAGAAGAGGGCAGATTCCCAACGTATGGAGTAGGACAGACAACTAACTATTCTCAGAGAAATACTTGCTATGAACAGCTTTTCAAACATTAATGATGTGATGGGCACAGTAGCAGGGAATGAGAGGGAAAATAGGCAACGATTTCTATAAGGTACCATAAGAAAAAAAAAATAAAGTACACCACTGCATGTGTAGGCACAGTCTGGCAAGCTGACCAGGACAGAAAAAAGTGCATCACCGTGGAGAGATACCCAGCACACAGGAACATCAGAGACACCTTCCAAGGAAAATGCAGTCACTCATCTAGCAACTGTGACAGCGCCAGATGTTTGGCTTGGGCTCTGTGTGCCTTTTTATTACCAGCTGCTGCATGCTGGCCTGAAGCACTGAAACCAGGGACTTTGGATGAGCACAGGAACAATGACAACTTTCAGTGTAGAATCCATCTAAAAAGGGAGGCGAATGGGGAGGCATGGATGACTCAAGGGAAAAGGGACGTAAAGCCACAGGTCACTGTTTCATTTATTCCAGGTCAGCAGTGGTGCACATCATATTATTGGAAGGTTGCTGTGAAAATTAATTTGGTGGTTTCAATCCGGTGCCTAGTGTACAGGCGTAACATTTTCAATAGCACATAGATGACAAAGGCACCTACGTCCCACTGACTGTCAACAGAAGGCAGTGCTTTGAAAATGGGGCCTACGTTCCTAAGTAATTTAGACACTTTTGAAAATTTTACCCCAGATGTCTACAGCTGAGTGTGATACTCATTGGCTTCCATGCTGGCAATCATGGCAGAGGCCAAGGACTGAATGGGTCACGAAAACTGAACTTCCACTAGAGGATGAACTTCCCCAATCATCCTCTAAAAATGGCCCCTCCTATTCAGAGCAGGCATGTTGGCAGATGGCAGCACAGGGGAAGCATGTAGGTCTCTGGGGTAAATGCAGACATCCAGTTTCCAGGAGTGCACCAAAATTCATCTTCTTTTTTCTTGCCACGTCCCTATTGGAGTCAGCGACTTTTATAGCCTTCTTCCAAAACTCATGATTGTATGCCCGGCTGTCATGAAGATTGGTCTCTCTGAGGTCTACAGATATTTGGTCTATGTACCGAGTCTTTGTTCTCCCCTTTTCTCCTCTTCTGTCTACAATCATTGCAAGAGCCATTCTACCGATATAGCTCTCAGGTCTCCATACCGATTTAACCTAACCTTCCTCAACTTGTCTTCAGTTGTGGCAACCCACATTAGGCCCCTTACAACCTCATTACATTTCCTATCATGGAGCATCCAACCATTTGACAATCTCAACATCTTCATGGCGGAGAGCATACTGATTTCCTTTCTTGTGGCTGGCCAAGTCTCTGTTCCGTAGATTAAGATGGGTTGAGTTATAGTTTTATACACTCTACCTTTTAACTCCATTGGCATCTTTTTGTCACAGAGAACTGGAGTCAGCTCCCATCGTTTGCACCAAGCAGCTTTAGTATTAAAATATGCTTTTGAAATTCAGGATTGAAGTCGTGGGACTAGTAAAATAACAGTAACAGGGATCAGCTAAGTGAAGCGTGGGCCCATTTGGAAAGGTTTGATTTGCCATTGGGGAGCTGGGAGTTTGCTTTGTTGAGGGTGCCAGGATGGCAAATTGCTAAACAGAACTGAGGTTTAAAAATAAAGGGAAAATAAATTGTCATTTTCATTAATGCCAGGAACAATGGTTATTTTCTTTCCTTCCCACATGACTGCACCTACGTATACACACAGGGCTGTGTAGCTGCTGAGGGTATCAGTTGCAGTGTTTCTGTTGCTACTCGCACCTTGCAGCTTCTCTAATGGAACATACTCCGCTTCTCACTTTGGACTGGGCGTGGGGCGCGCCATAGGTTCCATGTCCTTCAGCCTGACCCTGATCCTTTATCTCCCTATAGATTTCACTACTCTGGTCACGTCAGGAGATTAATGAGGTCCATCTTTATACATAATAAATTACCTCAAGCTCTCTCTCGAGATCTTTGGCCTTCTCGTGTGTTAAACAGCTGCCGACTCTGAATGGGGGAATCCGACGCTATGCTGGTAGCAGCGTTCTCATCCATGTCCTCGCTACCTAGCATCTGTGACACTCACTGTTAAACACACAGCTCTGATTCCATTCGACACACAAATTCTGCCAGCAGAAAGAGTCCCCAGCCAGCAAAGATGAAACAGGAGCGGCCGGCACTGCATCAGAGAATTCTGAAAGCCCCAGCTCCACTTTACTGTGTCCTTTCATTGCCGCTGAGCTCCATTTTATTTGCTGCTATTTTTATAGCTGATCTTCGTCTATCCAGATGGTTTTACGCTGCTCTTCCCCAATCTTCTCCTTGATTATTCGGATGAGATCCTCAATACTGCTCCACATGTCTGCCTCTAGGGGGGCATAAAGGCACGGTAGTGCCTCCAGTTCTTTCTCCTTCTGGCGACACATGCGTAGGAACTCCTCCTCAGTCTCTGGCTTTGGCAACAGCTTCCTGCATCAGATGACCAAGCCGAAAATAAGCAAACTAGGGTTATGTTTAAAGTGAATCCTTACAATCTCCCTCTATCCTAGCAAGAGTTGATATAAAGAAGGGTATAGGAGAGCTAGAAAGTGACAGCTTCTCCGGTCATGTCCTCTCCCACCAAAACTATCATGGAGAACAATGAAGCAGTGCTCATTGTAGGGAGATTATCACTACTCCAGACCCAATCTTTCCCAGTAGGGAACGGCACAGGAGTGCTTAGTATGGGGGAGCACACAGATAGTCCAGTCCAGTGCCATCCTCTTGCAACAAACACTGCCATCAGGAGTGGTGACAGAGTGCTGGATTTGGGGCAACTCATAGCTACTACAGTGGTCATATTTCCAGGGAGGAGGGGGAGGAGTCATGGGAGGAAATAGAGACATACTGAAGTACTAGATTAGCAAGAAAAAGCTCTTCCCCCTCCCCGCCATGATAAAGTCATTGGACTATAGAGTTATTCAGTGACAAAGACAGAATAGCATATGTTTGAAAGATTTGATATGTTACCTGAACCTCTTGATGTTTTTCTCTGAGACTCTGATAAAGAGAATAATGGGATATATCTTGGCTTTGATTAAATCCTTTGTGCAGCTTATTCCAGCTTCCAGCAGACAATGCTTATTCTAAAAACATAAAGGCATAACAGGGTCATGAGGGAACATCCACAGCACTAATATCTTGTGATACAGACAGACATATCTCAACAGGGTCAGGTGAACTGCTCTTCATTCATCAGACCTGATGTAAAACCTTCACATCAAATGTACATTTCAGGTCCAAACTCCTCCCATGAATTCACAACTAGCCAATCAGACAAAAGCTAATTTTAGTACTCAGTATGAGAGCTCTCCTTTTGCAAAGGTTTAAAAATGAGTGACTTGATCTAAAGATAACGAATAAGCTAAAATACTATAAATAAAAAATAAAGTCAGACATATATTATATATTCACATGCACAGGTGTGGTCTTCGTTCAAAGAGAACATATACTGTAATTACTTCTGAAAAAACAACCAACTACTCACTTTAATCCTTCTGTTTTTCTCCACCGTGTAACAAATACACTGTATTTGAAGCTATCTCTCTGTCTTTGACAATGTTATCTTTATACTGCATATCATTGTCTCTCTCTGCATCCCAGTCTATCCTTTTCCTTGTCTAGGTCCCTGTCTCTCTCTTTTGCATTCACACACAGACAAAACAAAAGGGGGACTGACTAGGGAAGAGTGGGTAGGAAATGAAAGGGTATTTCACTCTATCAAGGTAGGCCATCACAGAGAGAGAGCACAAATGTAAAAGGATATGGCTAAGGATCAAAAAGAAAAGAAAAATAACTGCACAAAGCTAAAGGGGAAAGATAAATAGAAATTTGGGAACAGGATGAGAAAGGGAGAAAAAAGAAGTTATTCTGAAAACATAAGCCCTTAATGTGGCAGTTAATTGACCACTTTGTTTATGAAAAGCAACCCGCTCTGTAGACAGATTCGCAGATAGCCTAAATACTGGCTACATTCCACAACCCTCACCTTGGCAGTGACGGCCTCAATATTGGCAGGTACAATGCATTCATAGGTGTTTGAATTCTTCTCTCTGGAAAAGATGATAGTCTCTGTCCTTTGCTTCCTTAGGAACTCTTCCTTTGTTACAATATCTGGAGGGGGGGGGGGGATGAAAGGAAGGTTAGCGGGTTCACATAATATGTGCACCTAAGAAACTGTCCAGCAGGAATTCAGACAGGACTCTGACGGTACAGTGAAAGAAGACCAAGCGTCTTCTTGAGTGCTGGTCTCATTTCATTCATTTAATTGAACTGAAGCCTCAAATATCCCATCCCATCTCCTAGAACTGGAAGGGACCTTGAAAGGTCATCGAGTCCAGCCCCCTGCCTTCACTAGCAGGACCAAGTACTGATTTTGGCCCAGATCTCCAAGTGGCCCCCTCAAGGATTGAACTCACAACCCTGGGTTTAGCAGGCCAATGCTCAAACCACTGAGCTATCCCTCCCCCAGTGAATTTCTGAGCAATCACCACAATACAATCAAGGCACCCAATGACAACAAGAAGATGCAGTAAAAACTATACCAACACCTAAAATCAAAGAGCAACTTTGTTCCACAGCACCAAATCACAAGGCTGGAATATTACACAGTAGCTGAGACAGCATTTCACACAGTAATAGATTACTATATCACCACATTATTATTGGTGTTGCCATGGGGCTAAGCGGTCCCAGCCCGTTGTACTAGGTCTTGGACAACCACATAGCAGAAAGATGGTCCCTCCTCCAAAGAGCTTACCCAGCTCTTGTACTCATACTAAATAAACATTGCAAACCAAACTCTACAGCACTGTACAGAGCCTCGGAATCTGAAAATCAATCTGACTAGCAATAGACCAATTTCACTGTCCAAGGTGCATGAAATACAGAATAGTAAACAAACCATACAAATGGCAAAGAGTAAATTAGACTCTTAAAATTACTGTATTTATATCAGTCTAAGTTGTTCATAATAACACAGACCAGGGTACTGGGATTTCAGAACAGATGGTTTTTAACCTAAGACAGGTTTCAGAGTAGCAGCCGTGTTAGTCTGTATCCGCAAAAAGAACAGGAGTACTTGTGGCACCTTAGAGACTAACAAATTTATTAGAACATAAGCTTTCATGGGCTACAGCCCACTTCTTCGGATGCATATAGAATGGAACATATATTGAGGAGATATATATATACACATACAGAGAGCATGAACAGGTGGGAGTTGTCTTACCAACTCTGAGAGGCCAATTAAGTAAGAGAAAAAAAGGTTTGAAGTATCATCTGGGGTCATCAGAACAGGCTGATCGAGGAGTCACCTGACTGAAGAACTGAAAAGCTATGAAAGAGCTCACAGGGAGACACTCAGAAAGTGTGGGCAGGAGAGGGGAAGAGGATGGACCGGCCAGCCAAAGTTGGCATGGGTGAGCAGGGGGAGAAAGCTCCATGCTTCAGAACACAAACCATGCACTGCAATGGAAGGATGCTGGATGGCCTCAAGGACTCTGACTCCAGCCCACAGAATGCTCCAGAAATGGTGGAGAAACTAAGGCAGTGCAATGCACATACGGTTTATTATTTGTGTATAGGGCTGTGTGTCTCCTGCTATTAAGAAAGAGCAATAATGTGTTAGAATCCTGTGCGACGTCTGTATGTGCTATGTGCTACACCTTACCACGTGCCCCCAAGAGGAAACCCAGAAGCCTCAAAACTGCAGGTGGAGATCTGAAAGAGGGTGCGTTTAAGCTATGGCAGGAGACTGAGGGTGCATTTTGATTAGTTGCTGTGGAGTGGTTGCAATTTAAGCTGTTGCATCCCCGCTGGATTACTCAGAAGCACTTGAGCTTCAGCCCAAGACCCCACCAATGGGATAGCTAGCCCAAGCCTACAGTACCAATTAATTCAAGCTAGAGATTAGCGTGTGTGGATGGGAATTGAGTTAGTGGTCACAATCAAGTTATAACCCGAGATAACTGTGCTGTGAAGACATATCCTGAGGGGCCAGCACTGGTTCTAGGGACTAGGCTGTGCAGTCTAAGCTCTCGGGAGGGGGTGCCAGATTAAGATCTGTACTCTGAAGGCATGTTAGGGATCCTAAACTGGGGGAGTGACTGTACTCTGTTCATAGTCTGCCGGCTTAAAACACAAGGGATTCAGCACCTCATAGCTGTCTGGTGAGTGGAACAGAGGTGGCGCTTAATTGGAACTATGACAGTAGTGTATCCCAGAGCAATCACAGTACAGCAGGGTTTCTCAAACAGGGGTCGCCGCTTGTGTAGGGAAAGTCCCCGGTGGGCCAGGATGGTTTGTTTACCTGCCCCATCTGCAAGTACGGTTGATCACAGCTCCTACTAGCCGCAGGTCGCTGCTCTGGGCCAATGGGAGCTGCTGGAAGCAGCGGCCAGTAAGTTCCTCGGCCCGCACCGCTTCCAGCAGCTCCCATTGGCCCGGAGCAGCAATTTGCAGCTAGTGGGAGCCGCGATCGGCCGGACCTGCGGACGGGGCAGGTAAACAAACCGGCCCGGCCCGCCAGGGGCTTTCCCTACACAAGCGGTGACCCCTGTTTGAGAAACCCTGCGGTACAGGATACTGCTTTGAATGGTAAACAGTTAACAAGAAAGAGTTTCATTCAAAAACCCAGTCTTTGGAGAAGATCAAATGCAAGATCTTCATGCCCTGGACTGGAAAGAAACCTATAATTGGTTGGAAGGAAGATATTCATCATTATAGCAACAGCTAGACACGAGCTGAGCAAAATGTCACATTACCTAGAGTTAAACACATTAGTACTGACAAAGAGCACTCACAACATGCCAGTCCCTGGAGTGTATCATGGCAACTATAGAACATACACATGTATAACATTCACAGACACAGCACCTCAGGACCATTTATGATGGATATCTCAGACAAATTCAGAATGTTCTTACAAACTGTCACATTGCAGGATCCGGAGGTATGCTGGGTGGTGACATGGCTCTGGGAGTCCCCAGCAGCTGGAATGTGTATGCCTACAGTAAAAAGGCTTGCTAAATTTAATACATACTGCAATCTTTTACACATTTACCTGGCTTGCACATGTTGAATTCCAAGGCACCTCCAGAATTGAGAAGCTTCTGCACCAAGGTCTTTGCAAGCATAGTGGGAGTGAAGAGGACCGGGCGCCTCCGGTCACAGTGGATTGGTCGCACCAAACTATAGGGGATCAGACTTAGGCTCTTATTGATTTCACTTTCTGAATCCAAATCTGGGTAAAGAGGAGACAGTTTACAATCTAGTTTGTTCTTCACCAGTACTGGGAGAAGGATGTAGAAGAATCACATACATTAGAGAAGGGAATTGCATGGTTGGTCATCTTATCCATCCCTCCATCCAGAGCAGTACTGTTCCCTACAGTATATTCTCCAGTGCAATGTCCAGTCTAGTTTTAAATGACTCAAGCAATAGGCCCCTTGTCATTTTCCTTGGGAGACTATTTCACAGCTAAATAGACCACTCAGTTAGACATTTTTCCTGATTAACAGCTTAAATTTTCCTTTGTTTAACTCTAATTCACTACTTAGAGTTATACCACCTTGGAGGAAGAACAGGAGAGAACCTAGGAACAGTTGTCAACAAAATAGGACGTTTCAGTCCAGTGGACTTGTTTTCAAGAGCTATCTTCCCCCGACTCTCCAGAAAATTCCAAGGATTGAGTCACATGCAGAACATAAAAATTAGATATGGAAAAGGCCTAGGACCTGATTGTGCACTGCCTTCCACTTGTGTAGTCATTTAACCTATGTCAAGTGGGCGTAAAATCCTGTCGTGCTGTTATGTCCTTACCTTCCAGTTTATCAGGCAACAGCTTCATTGCTTCAGAAGAGGTCCGGGCCAGACTGGAGGAATAGCCAGTGACAATGCGGACTCGCTCATTGCTGTTCATACGTTTGTATTTGTTTTCAGACCTGCTAACAAACTGAAAGAGCAAACAAAGAGGCTTGACCCCCCACCCATTGTATGGAATTATATTCTTTATTCTTCCACATATTTGTTTGCTCCATGTCCCCTTCCATTATCTACCAGATTTGAATTACCTCTGTGTCTAGCAAAAACAAGGCTACACGTTCACCAACCCTTCCACAGAGATGCTGGCTGAATTCCAGGGCTATTTTAAACAACGTAGATCTGACCTTCAGCTTTTGTTATTCCCTTGTGGAATTCTTTTCCTCTTGTTCTCTCTACTTATGAGTCATGTTCTATTTCTTTCTCAAAACCCTCCGGCATCAACAGAGTTACTACAGATGGACTCACTGGGGAGTAGCACGCCCACTACGAATGTTAGCACAGCAGTTCCAGAAACTACCCATTTCTGTACCCTTACCTTATTGCAACCCCCAACTTTTAGCTTGTCAGCACTCAACACTTTTTTCCTATAGCAGAATTTAACACCCAACAAAATGCTTCTTTCATACACCATCCACCCAAATATTCACTCCCCCACCTGTGCATTCTCTAACCTTCCCAACCACACCCTTGGGGATTTTTGTTAATAATGTGCTCTTTAGTCTAGCAGAGAAAGGCATAACATGGTCCAATGGCTGGAATCTGAAGCTAGATAAATTCAGACTAGAAATAAGGTGCAAATATTTAAGTGAGAGTAATTAACCATTGGAACAATTTACCAAGGGTCATGGTGGATTCTCCATCACTGACAATTTTTAAATCAAGATTGGATGTTTTTCTAAAAGATCTGCTCTAGGAATTGTCTGGGGGAAGTTCAGTGACCTGTGTTATACAGGAGTTCATACTAGATAATCACAATGGTCTCATCTGACCTTGGAATCTATGAATCATACCATTCACCCACCCATTTGCCATCCTCTCCACAATATCTGCCCTTGCAATTAAAAAACTATTCTCTTCTGGGATTTCATTCTCCTAAGTACCAAGAGAGTTAGTCTGGCCAAGAGAATTTATTGTCATGCTTCAGATGAGGTCCATTTTAGCCCTTCAGAGCAGGGCTGTATGATATATCCAGATTATATTAATAATGGAGATGAGAGTATTAAAAGCTAAAGGTCCCGCATGACAGGGACAGTTAGAAAGTATAAATCAATCAGATTTCTTATATGTTAAAGCTCTTTGTTACAATCATAAGCACTTGGACAATGTCTCCAGCACGGGAAGTTAGACTCTGAGAGAACATGATACCTGAGAATATCACCAAGAGATATCTGACTCAAAACTCCCAGTGAAAAATCATGCTCTGATGTTTTGTAGAGGAGAATTTTAACTTTATTACCTGTATAATTTGTCCCAAAAGGAAGCTTGCACGGGAGAGGCGAGGGCTGGCTTTGGGGTCATTCTGTGCGTCCTCTGGCTGCAGTGTATTCTGTAAGAATTGTACAGGAAAAGATCAATTTCAGTAAATCGTAGCATCCAAAAACCAAAACAGGCCTTGAGCAGCTATTCGGCTATTTACAGTTAAGGAGATAGGGACTTGTTAGCATTCATACCCATTACAAAGTTAAGGAGTATTCTGTGCAAATTACAGACCTAGCACTGCCTAGGCTGAGAAACTCTGCTCCTGTTACTACTTCCCCCCATGCCTCTCTTCAGAGGAAGTTCTGTGACTGTGTCTGCACTAGAGATTTGACCAGAGGCCACCTGTGCAGTGACTAGTTTACTGTGGGATGGCAGGGCTATTTGCATCCAGTCATGCTTTTATGCCAGTGATTGCCGTCTACCCTGACACTTGATCAGAGGAGACTGGAGGACCATCTGGTGCTTTGCCTTGTTTGAAGTCTAATCCAAATGGTGATTGTAGCATCTCTGCATTATTGGAAGCATTCTTATGTGTGGTCCCAAAGTGTGTTAAAGGAGTGCTAGGTGCACACAAGGTGGCTAATACAGCAGAAAACTAATGTACTAGAGTACATAATAGGAACTCTTGGGGCTAAAGGAATAGACTTAACCCAGTATCACTGTGAGTAGGGCGAAAAGTCTGAAGACTTGATGCACAGAAGATACAGTAATCCCACTTCTCTGCATGGGATATACTTTTGGAGGAGACAGATTCTTTGGGCCTGGGACAAAGAGAATTCTAAGGGTTAGACGCTTGTTCAAGATAGGAGAGAAGAAATTCTGATTATTAGCTCTAAGAACACAGCTTCTTCCCCATGTACGATTGAGGGAAAGACCTTTGGAAGGTTAGAGGTGTGGAAGACTTAAAGAGACTAGAGACCAGGTAGAGTGGATATTAAACATGTGGAGACTTCTCACTGTCAGCATCAGGAGTTAAAATTATACTGGAGCTAGACCCGGAGCAGGAAACACTGTGGGTAAAAGGAATGGAGACACAAGACACTTATCCACAGAGTGGACCAAAGGAAGCTTACAGACAGTGATTCACAACAGGAATGTAACGTAAAGATGAAGTAGTGAGCAATACAGAGTGCTGGAGCAATTGGTGTGGAAAGACCCTGGCTGTGGAGACCTACCCGGAGTGCTCGAAGAGTGTTGGATGAACTTTCCGTCTCATCCCTGCTGCCTCTGTGCATCAATCGCTGTAGCTTCACCAGAAAGAGCTGCTGGGCTCTGCAAGAAACAGTGAACATGTGGATCAAGAAGACGCATTTGAGATCATCTAGAGGAATGCAATGGTCAATGTTTGGGAAAAGACTAAAGAGAACGGGGGAGGATAGTTCAGTGGTTTGAGCATTGGCCTACTAAACCCAGAGTTGTGAGTTCAATCCTTGAGGGGGGCCACTTAGGGATCTGGGACAAAATCAGTACTTGGTCCTGCTAATGAAGGCGGGGGGCTGGACTCAATGACCTTTCAAGGTCCCTTCCAGTTCTAGGAGATAGGATATCTCTATTAATTTAATTTATTTAACAGCAACGAGGAATGGATGAATCACACAGTGAAGACACGGAACAAAATAGTCAGCAGGACTGTGGTACACAGCTGAGGAAAAGGGGGTCTCCATTGTACATCTTCCTATCCTGCTCTCTGAGAAACCCACAGTCTCCTAATAAAATCTGGGGTCTCCCCCTCAGAACCCTTATGCTCACATGCTTATGCTTATGTTGCAACCAAACACCCGTCTTGACCACCAACTCTGAGAGTTGCACCTCCCCCCATTATAGCAGGTACTGATTCACACAACAGTGCTCATATAGTTGCTGCTCATGGTCAGTCACTGTCCTATTTCAGCCTGCATTATGCTCACCTGCTGTAGCTGGGGATGGTCCCCGTTTCCAGGTTCCTGTCAGTGAAAGGGTCAACTCTGGCACACAGCCACTCACACTTCCCCTGGTACATGGTGTCAAGAATATGCACAATCTCATCACACTTCACCGACAGGGAGCAGCAGTCCAGCTGGCTAGAGATGTTCAGATTCAGACGGATGTGAAATGAGTCCCCTGACGTGATCAATCCTTCATCCAGTTCCGACAGCAGTTTCCTGTAACCTGCAGCAACAAAGGAAGGAGCCAAGCATGGTCAATCTGTGGCCAAGTGCTGCTGTATTCCTAGCTTTCAATGAGTAGACACTGTTGTGGTGGAAGTTCACCACACTGAAATCCTAGTTTAAATTGACAGGGCACTTCTGAGAGGAAACTCATACTGCTAGAGTGTTAGTTGGAATGGTCTGGGAGCAGCTCACGCTGCAGGTATCACAGTCCATAAGAGATTCCTGTTGTAAGGATACATTTAGGCAACATCATTTCTGGTAGGTTTTATACAAATCATCCATAAAACAGTGAACTTCCCAACAAAGACACAGGCTGAAAAGCTTAAGCTGCTATACTTAATCCTGCAAGTATAACATGAGTTCTACCAGGTGGCCTAATGGCAGGCTATTCGCTTCATTAACAGCTGTAACTAGCACTCCCACAATCTGTAACATGCTTTATCTGCAGCCAAGTGGTGCTCAAAAAAGGGTGATATTCTTTTCTACTTAAACATCAAAGGAAAATCAAAGAAATCACTTTCAGCATGATCTGTACAACTGAATTCCCCTGACCAGGATAAAGAAGGGGCCAACATAGCTACACAAGTAAAAAATGGGTTTTGGAATGCAATTTTTAATCCAAAATCCCAAATTATTACTACAAGCCATGATCATTAAAACCAAACTCCATTCAGCCGTTAAAGATAAGATAAAAGTGCAACAGTAATAAACAAAGTAAACTCCAAAGTGTAACTGTTAAATCAGACTTTAGAGGTGTAAAAGAAAACGTAGCACACCATGTTACATCACAGAAAATAGTACACAAAAATCATCTGGCACATTGTGATTATTGTCTCCAATGACCCACCCACTAAGCTCTCCAGACTCTTGGGATGACAGATGTATGGGCTATTTCTGCTTTCAGTTACATTGGTGTAAATCTGGGGTAATTCTATAGAAACCAATGGATTTACCCCAGGTTTACACCAGTACAACTAAAAGCAGTGTTTGGCTCAGTGAATTCTGATCTAGCAGAGGACGTGCCTTAACTAGAATTCTGGCAATCTGTGATGAGCCAAACTTTAGGTCTTACCTTCATGGTTTGATTTATACTGGAGTGTTACTGGTCCACTGCACCTCTGAATTGTCCAGTGTGCTTCTTCCTTTGTGCAGGTATCCAAGGGAACGCTCTGATTTTCCCCTTTGATGCAGCCTTCCAGCTAGATGAAAGAGATACTCTTAGCAGTGAGCTCAGTGTGTGAGACAATTATGCCACCCATTACATTCTGTAGTTTCTTTCTAGATTAAACAACCTGCCTATTTTTGCTAGCAATGCAATTACATTTAAATGATTTGTCTGTAGCTTCTTTTCTCTCCTCTGGAAATTCTAGAAGTTGGTGGAACTGTAACTCCATGATAATCCATGTTTCCCCAGTAGGAGTCACTACTGGGAATGGTATAGGGATGATGGCTTTAGGGTAAGCCAGCAGCTATTCCTCACCCAGCTTCTCCTATCAAAAGCAGCAATAGGGAAGGGTGTAGCAATGCTGGTGGCGGGGGGAAGCTCACAGTATGTCCAGTTCCTGCAGGAATCATAGTAGGGAATGGTGCACAAGCCAGGGGGCTGAACAAAACCACAGAGCTACCACAATGACAGCTTCTCCAGGCAGAAGTGGCTACTGGGTCTAACAGTTTTAAGGATAACAGCTCATAGACTCGTAGACATTAAGGTCAGAAGGGACCATCATGATTATCTAGTCTGACCTCCTGCACATTGCAGGCTGCAGAACCTCACCCACCCATTCCTGAAATAGACTCCTAGCCTCTGGCTGAGTTACTGGAAGTCCTCAAATCATGGTTTAAAGACTTCAAGTTACAGAGAATTCACCATTTACACTAGTTTAAACCTGCAAGTGATGTGTGCTCCCCATGCTGCAGAAGGCAGCGAACCCCCCCAGGGATCTCTGCCAAGCTGACCTGGGGGAAAATACCTTCCTGACCCCAAATATAGTGATCACTTAGAACCGGAGCATGTGAGCAAGACCCACCATGCAGACACCTGGGAAAGAATTCTCTGTAGTAACTCAGAGCCCTCCCCATCTAGTATCCCATCTCCAGCCATTGGGGATTTTTGCTACTGCTGTTGCAGATGGGCCACATGCCATTGTAGGCAGTCCCATCATACCATTCCCTCCTTATCAAGCTCAGTCTTGAAGCCAGTTAGGTTTTTACCCCCACTGCTTCCCTTGGTAGGCTGTTCCACAACTTCACTCCTCTGATGGTAAGAAACCTTCACCTAATTTCGAGCCTAAACTTGTTGTTGGCCAGTTTATATCCATTTGTTCTTGTGTTCACATTGGCGCTTAACTTAAATAATTCTTCTCCTTCCCTGACATGTATCCCTCTGATGTATTCATAGAGAACAATCAGCCTTCTTTTGGTTAGGCTAAACAAGCCAAGCTCTTTGAGTCTCTTCTCATAAGGTAGGTTTTCCATTCCTCAGATCCTCCTAGTAAGCCCTTCTCTGCACCTGTTCCAGTTTTAATTCATCTTTCTTAAACATGGGATATCAAATGTGACATTCCATACCTTGTGGGAGTGTCCTGTAACCCCCATATTCCTCATTTTTATATGATTGTGATCTTACATATAAAGCATGCCTTATAAGGTATCAGGGGAAAGATTATGATCTGCTGAAAGTCATTTCTTTATCCATATATGTATATCATTAATGCATATGAAGTTATGAGAATTGTGTTGTATGGTTGTCACTAAAACATGCCGTAAGTTGGGGAATCAGCCAGATATTAGCTCCCCAGTGGCAACAGCAAGGAAAGTAACCAATGCCTGGTCGGGTGTCAAACAACCCATCAACAACCATTGTCCAGCAAGAGAACTACAATTTAATGACTCACCTGCATGAGGCCACACCAGGGGAATTGCTCAACCTTGCCCGGAGACTCAGTAATGCCCACCAGACATGCCTGGACTTGTGTATCCCAAGCACATGGGACTGAGGTTATAAAACAGAACAGAGCAGGCCCATGCTTCGCCTTTCTCCTGTCCCCACCTATGTTGCAAGCAACCAAGACACTCGGAAGAAGACTGAAGACTCCAAGAGAGGAGACTGGCCCAGATTTAAGGGCCAATCAGTATATTAAGGACTGCAATATCCAGTGGGGTGAGAAAAACTGCTTAGTTTAGTTGTTGCCCAGTCTAATCGGGTTGAGAGTTTAGACTGTGCTTATATTTTGTTTCTTTTGGTAACTAACTCTGACTTTTTGCCTATCGCTTATAGTCTCTTAAAATCTATCTTTTGTAGTCAATACATTTGCTTAACTGTTTATCTTTACCAGTGAGTTTGCCTGCAGTGTGTGGTGAATTTGCTCAGGTTTTATACGAAGCCTGCTGTATATCCGCTTTCCATTGATGAAGTGGAGAACCAATTAATAAATTTGCACTGCTCATCTTGCGCAGTGCAAAATGGTATATTCCTGAGGTACAGTGCTGGGAGCTGGGGGGATTTGACTCTGGTGCCTTTCTCTGTGTGATTCATGAGTGGCTCTGGGAGCATTCATGCAATCTAGCTAGGTGTTGGGTCTCCACATGCAGTTGTGCTAAGTGATAACAGCCCCTGGAGGGATTTGCTGCTGGTCACTAGCAAGGCATTGTGAGAGGCAACCCAGGCTGGAGAGAGTTCAGGGGGAACAGCGGTCCCACGGTCACAGGCTGCACCCCGGGAATCCCGTCACATCCAGAATTGCACACAATATTCCAGATGAGGTTTCACCAGTGCCTTGTGTAATGGTACAAACACTTCCCTGTCTCTTCTGGAAATACCTCGCCTGATGCATCCTAGGACAACATTTTTCATGGCCGCATCACATTGACAGCTCATAGTCATCCTGTGATCAACCAATACACCCAGATCTTTCTCCTCCTCTGTCTCTTCCAACTGAAAAATCCCCAGGTTATAGCAAAAATTCTTGTTCTTAGTCCCTAAACACATGATCTTGCACTTTGCACTATTAAATTGCATCCCATTTCTATTACCCCAGTTTACAAGGTCATCCAGATCTCCTTGTATGATATTCTGCTCTTCCTCTGTATTGGCTATACCTCCCAAATTTTATTAGCACACTCTCACTTGTGTCAAGATCAGTAATAAAACTGTTAAGTAAGATTGGTCCCAAGACCGACCCCGAGGAACTCCACTAGTAACTTCCCTCCAGCCTGACAGTATGACATGTTGTTGTCTCCCCTTTAACCAGTTCCTTATCCAGCTTTCAACTCTCATATTAATCCCCATCTTCTCCAATTTACCTAATAATTTCCCATGTGCAACTGTATCAAATGCTTTATTGAAATCCAGATAGATTAGATCTACTGCATTTCTCTTGTCTAAAAAGTCAGTTATCTTCTCAAAGAAGGAGATCAGGTTGGTCTGGTAAGATCTACCTTTTGTAAAACCATGTTGTATTTTATCCTGATTACCGTTCACCTCTATATCCTTAACTACTTTCTCTTTCAAAATTTGTTCCAAGACCTTGCGTACAATTGAGGTCAAACTAACAGGCCTGTAGTTTCCTGGATTACTTCCCCCTGCTTTTTAAAAAAATAGGAACGATATTAGCTATTCCTTTCTCCATTGCTGTGTCCATTCTTACTTGATTTTCCTTCCTCTTAATGTTAAAATCAGACATGGAGACTACATGAGCTTCTCCCAACCATCTCCCCCCGAGTTCCTAGTTTAAAGCTCTTTTAATGAGTTGTGCCAACCTCCATCCCAGAAATCTATTTCCCTTCCTACTCAGGTGGAGTCCATCCCATGAGAACGGTCTTCTGTCCACGAATGCCTCCCAATGGTCAAACATCCCGAAGTCCTCCTTATAGCACCACTGCTTGAGCCATCTGTTGATCATCATAACTTTGTCTCGCTTTCATTCTCCTCCTCTAGGGACAGGCAGAATCCCTCTGAATATCACATGAGCCTCCATTTCCTTATATGTTCCAGTGAGAATCTAGCTGTGTCATTTGTTCCCACATGAAGGATAATCAGTGCATTCTTTTCTGCTTCCATTAGGATCCTCTTCAGCCTCAAGTCCACATCCCATATCTTAGCTTCTGGCAGACAGCATACCCTCTGGTTCAGCTCTGGTGACAGGCGTGTCTGTTCTTCTTAGTAGGGAGTCCCCAATCATGTAGACCTGCCTTTTTCTGGTGATGGTGTAATCCTCCGGCCTTCCTCCTCTTCTTTCTGGCTGCGAGTCCTCTTGTCTTCTATTCTGCCTTACAATCTTCTGCAAGTCATCCTGTATCGTCCTGGGGCTCTGAACTCTGGTTATCTCCATTGACTCTTCCCCTCTTCTTGTAGGACTAGCCACTCTTCTCTTCCTTGCCCTCCCTGCTTCAGTTACAGCCTGCTGTGCCCCTTCTTCGTTTTACAACTCAGCAAACCCGTTCCTGAGCTCTATTTCTCCTTCACCAGCCAGGCTTTTCCTCAGCCTGGTTCTTATAGTCACATGCTTCCACTGATCACTCTCCTCACCCATCAGGCTCTGCTCTGAGTCCTTTGAGTCCAGCTTGCATCTGCAAGTCTTGGCTTTTCCCTTCAGCCTCCTCTTGCCTTTGCTCCATCATCTGCTCAAATCCAGCTCGAAACTCCACCATAGTTTCCCCACATCTCCATGCCTCGGATCTTCTCTTCCATCAGCTCTATCAAGTGGAACTTCATACAAACGAAGTTTTTTCAGGTACCCACTGTAGGATCATGTACATCCCACAGCTTCCACATCCGGTCATCTTTATTGTCTCTTCCATGGCTTGGGTCACTACCACTGCTGCCTCTGTACCTGCCATAGCTTTCCCGCCTAAATTCCTGTCAAGGAACAAACAAACAAACAAACACAGACCCAAACACCCAAACAAACACCAGATCAAAATCAGAGGACCACACATCCCTACCCCTAACAAACTCCCACTCAAACTCCCCTGTTTACAGCTCTGTTTGCTGCACCTGTGCCACTGGCTGACTGTTTGGCAGCCTAATCAGGGCTCTGTTTCTCTCACAGCACGCTGCCTCCTACCAGCCTCTACAAACTGAACAAGAGAAAACAAACAAACAAGCAAACACACAAGACAGAGATGACAGGGAAAGCTCACAGCCACTCCCGTGCTAGTCTTTTCCAAGGGGTATTACTATAAGGAAAGGTGTAAAAGGAGGTGGCAGTCACTCCTGTCCCAGCTTCTTCCAGATGGAGTGATTGTAAGCTGTAATTGTGCAGGTGTCTGGAAAGCCCACAAATACCCCCACTTCCAGACTCACTCAGCAGGATTCCCGATTGGATCTAAAGATGTAGGAATATTGGCTGCAGAGATGCTCATGTTTTGTCATTACTAGGGAATTAAAAGAAGAAAAAAGAAACAAAGGGGATTAGTGCAATAAGCACACACTGTTTGTTGTATGGTTAATGCTCACCAGAAGCAGCTGATGTCCCTCCCGGAGGCCCGCTTTCTCTGCTTGGGATCCCAGCTTGACAGAGCTGATGAAGCTTCCTTTGTCATTCCCCCCCAGCAGAGTGATTTCTGAGTTGAGGCTGTCTCCATTCAGTGTGATGCGCTGGATAGTGTGGCAGGAGTTCTTAATGCGACCAACAGACGTCACAGAAGGACGGAAAGGTCTGTGTTCATGAAACAAATAAACAGCTTAGACAATGCAGTTCTCAGCTTCTCTCAACTAGTCTGGGACCAAAATAGAAATTCTCCACTCAGGACAAATGTGGGGAGGGAGCGGGGCATGCAAATGAGCTTTCTACATTTATCAAGCGCTAGGATCTAATGACCCCTGAGAAATCTGTCCTCTCTGCTACAATACTACATAAGTTATACTAGAGAGCAGCATCTGGGCACCTCCTAAATGCTGAAACAAGACTGAACAGCCTCAGATGTCTGATGGCAGAGTGAGCAGTGAGACAACAAGGTCACTAGGATAAAGCTGTTTTCTTCAGATCACCTTCCTCCCCTGATTTTTCTGAGATAGTCATGATAGTCAACCACAGTCTCAGTTTGTAGGATAAATGGTCCCAACATAACGTGTTGTGTTGCTGCACTGTGACATGAGGACATAAGGAAGCGAACTGCCCATGCAACATTGTGATATCACCATGTCCTACGATATCCCATCCTCTGAGATTCATGGAGTGATCTAATATCTTGCATTTAAAGATGGCAACCCTGCCGTGGGTAGCCTTTCTACCCCCAGATCAGCCTTGGGCAAATAAACCAGCATCCCCAAAATACCTTTCCAGAGAGAACTTCCTAAAAATGGAGCTGACATGCTCAAGGTCATAGGCTTCCATGCCTTCAGACTGGTGAGAGGAAGAGGAGGAGTGCACTGAGGGAGCTCCATGCGAGTATCTGTCATGACTCTCATCTGAAAAAGAACACAAAAATCAGAAGGAATTCCAGATGCCGTGAGGAAACAGAGACTGGGGAAAGGTGCAGATGGAGCCGATCCCAGGGCAAGCCTGAGGTGGGGGGATGGGGGAGAGACACATTATTTTGATTCAGAGCAGGGAATGGGTTCCACCAGCCCTGGAGGCAGGAATGAGAATCCCCCTCATCCAAAGTCTATTCAGTCACTGTCAGCTTCATATTTTTGTCATGCTGTCTATTAAGCCTGGAACGGTCACCTAGTCCTTACCAGCCAAATGCGCTCTCTCTCCTCGAAATCAAATCCCTCCCTAAGACCACTTCTTCAAGCAATAGCTCCTCCCTCCTTCTCATCACTAATCACCACCTTGCCTTTCCTCTTCTGAAGTGCAAACCTGGGCTTTTTCTTGTGCTTTTGTCTCTCATCTTATTTAGCTTGTTAAATCTGCAGGACAGAGGATGCATTGATATCTGTAAGGCACCTTGTAAATTAGCAGCCCCACAGAAATGGTTTTCGATAAATGCTCCGGCGCCACTGGAACAGTGACAGAATGATGGCATGTAACAATCCCTTTGAGAAATTCTTTACAAACATTAACTAACGTTCCCAACAGCCCAAGAAGAAAAGCATCATTATCCCCATTCTATGTAGGGATAGACTGAAATACAGAGTGGTTCAGGGACATCCTCAAAGATCACACATCCATCCTGGACCAGAGCCAGGATTAGAACTCAGGAATTCCTGGTTCCCACTCCCTTGCTTAGTCCTCACTACCTCTTTCTCCAACAGCCAGAAACCATTCCCCATTCCCTATAACAACTCCTGCTGGGATCAGAGAGCTGCTCCACAGCCATTACCCCTACACCACTTCTCATTGTGACTCCCACTGAGAGAGGTTTGGACTAAATAAGCTGCAGCTCCCTCTACAGCCAGTGCTCCAACACCATTTTCTAAAATACAAGGTTCAAAGGTCATTTGTTTCCTTTTCAGCACTGAATGTCCCTTCTGGTCATTACAGTCCCTGGATTTGGCAGAACCCAGCACAGAGCTTCGGCCTCAGAAGGCCTGCCTACTGGGGTCTACTCCATACGAAAAAAAGAAAATCTTGTGTGGATTGATTTGGTCTTAATTGTTACATTTTCCAAAAGGTGTGAGGGTGGGAATCCTTTATATCCCTGCTGAGGTTAATGGAGGTCAGTGAACGTCAGGCATCCCTCTCCTATCCCAGTTCTGCCTGTGATAATGGAAAGCCAGTGCATATCATGTATCCTCCTTCCTCCAACCCTATGTAATGCCGACAGACCCCGGGAGCAAACCTCGGGAGCTGAATGCATGAGCCTCTACTGCATGAGCTAAAAGCCACATAGCTGTTAGCTAAGACTGTAACAGACTCATTAATCTCTCTCTAAGGGTACGTCTTCACTACCCACCGAATCGGCGGGTAGTGATCGATCTATTGGGGATCGATTTATCGCGTCTGTTGTAGACGCGATAAATCGATCCACGATTGCTCTGCCGTCAACTGCGGAACTCCACCGCAGCGAGAGGTGGAAGCGGAGTCGACGGGAGAGCGGCGGCCGTTGATCCCGCGCCGTGAGGACGGGAGGTAAGTCGAACTAAGATACGTCGACTTCAGCTATGCTGTTCTCGTAGCTGAAGTTGTGTATCTTAAGTCGATCCACCCCCAGTGTAGACCAGGCCTAAGTGGTCTCGGTGCCATTAGATGGGACAGAACACCACACCCAGGAGGTGTTACACCTTTATGTGATCATAAGGGCTGGTGGATAGTATCTGAATCTGGTGAGTTAAGGAATCACGATCATAGATCAGAGCTAAGGTTACAGACTGGTAACCTCCCCTTACTTACCATCTAGTTCCAAAGTATCATAGCTAAAGCTGTCATTGTCCTCCTCAGCCAGGCTGGAATTAAAAACGAAGAGAGAGAGAGACTTTCACTTTTCAAAATTCAGCAGGTATCGGTAGACTCTGACAGAGGAAGCTCTGTGATGGAGGAAGGTGTTGGAGGTGGCAGGTGAAACAGCAGGACAGTGCCAACAGACGAAGCTTTACAGACACATGTGGCACAGGGAAGAAACAGGAAGGCTGCATAGGAAACATTATCTAGAGAGGCCTGTGGAGGAGAGAGAGGTGTGGGAAGCAGCAGGAAGTTTCAGAAGGAAGAACTGTTAACAGAGAGGTAATGAAGGTTCTGACAGGTGGAAGGAAACTGTGGTCTCTGGTGGCCTGAACTGGTTGATCTGCACTTACTATTTCAGTTCTTCTTTTGAACACTTTGATACAGTGCATGCATAATACCTGCTTTAGACTGCAATGTGCTTTATTCCACACTGGGTCCAAAATGTAAGGGACGGGCTTCAAGTAGAGCAATAAAAATGATTTATTTTGGTTATACCTTTGAAGTGCACTTGCAGTATTATAACAGCTGCACAGGTCTTTCTGAGGGACCTTTGACAATGGAATGTCTGGTGAAATCAGAGGAATGTCTGGTGTACCCGGCTACCTGCAGAACCTCCAACTCCACAACCATCGTCCAATCCAAATCCCTTTGAAATCAGTAAGATACATCGCTTCAATGGAAGTTGGATCAGGCACCATGACAAAATACTAGCCACTTCAGGTCTTGCTGACATCTTTACTAAAAATAAAAATAAGGGGCCAGATTGTGATTCCCTTACAGTGACCGAACAGCATCTTCCTCCACAATAGGTGGCCTCACAGGGTCTTCTAGAGGCGGGAGTAAGATGCTGCTCATCATGAAGAAGATCAGCCAAGATTAAAAACAATGCAGCTTCTGTCTCTGGTGTTGACTCTGACTTACAGCCTCGCTGCTGCAAAAAACACAGGCCCAGCACATGGTCGTATCAGTCACTCCGAGACCTGGCAAACTGGTACCAGCATCGGGCTATTTAGGGCATTGCATTAGTTGCCTTTTTGGTAATAGGCTTTCCTTTTTAGGCAGAAGGTAGAGGAGAGGAGAGGAGAGGAGAGGAAAGAGAAGAAATAAGGTGGGGAAGGAAAAGGACACACAGGAGATGACAAAGTCTCACACCCAGCTTGTATTTGGCATTAACCGGAGTCAGTGGAGATGGTGCTGTCATCTGGTCCCGCTTTATTGGCCTAGTTAGGACATCTTTCAGGATAGGATGATAAAGGTCAAGGGGGTCCCAGGAGATGGTGGGGGAGGTAGCCATGATGATGAGGCTTGCTCCTTCCCTATCTCCTGTCTTTTCATCAGCGAGCTTTATTGTAGCCAGCTTACCCCGCCACCCCAAAGTCTCTTAAGGACCCCAAAAGAGAATGATGGAAGGAATACCCCATCCCCTCATTATTCTGTCCAACAATTAGGCCTATTTTCCAACACATCAACTTTGGTTCATTAATTTCCAGTCCCACACTTCTCTTGTTTACCAGGCATGATCTTAACAGTCCTTGAATTATATTAATAGGCCCTTTTGTTTAGATTAATTTGGTCTGTCTCCCTATTGCATCTTTTCTCCCCAACATTTGTTATTATAGGTTATTGTGACATTTTATGACCTTTCATTCACTTTTCACCATTGAACTCACAATTAAGGTAAATTTGTAGGCCCAGTTATTACAACTGTGTCCAGTCAACGGAGTGATCCAATTGGCTAAATATCTAGGGCAGCTTGGTTATGGCAAATGCTGCCGTAAAGGCTGCAAATTGGTTTAAATGATAACCCCTTATTCTTACCTTTGAGGCTGACATTTTCTCCACTTGATCCAAGGTGAAAGGGGAATTTTTGCAGAAAGTTGGGAGAAAATCAATTCAACTTGTTTTAAATTATGTGATGCTGCAGGGGGAAATAAACCCAACCACTTTTCCCCATTATAAGAAATTGCCTCAATTTATTTTCACACAAATAACTCAAAACCAGCTGAATAGTGAAACCTAAAACTTGGCATGTAAATAGGTTTTTGTTGTTGTTATTGTTGTTTTGAGCATGTCCATGAAATGAACAAGTTTGAAAAAAGCTTGGCAGGCTAATCACAAAGTTGTAAGCTATTGAAAAAATACTTCTGAGCATGCTCCAGGGACATCTGTGAAGATTTTTGACTCAGCAGAAAAAGGCTACACCTCTACTCTGCTGGACATTATGCACATCTGTTTTGCCAGACAGAAACAGGATGTGCTGCTGGGACAGCTTGCATGAAGGACATGCGAGAGCCTCTCTCTCACACACACACACAGCTCCAAAAACAAACAAAAAAACCCCTAGTACTTTAACACAGAATCATAGAATATCTGGGTTGGAAGGGACCTCAAGAGATCATCTAGTCCAACCCCCTGCTCAAAGCAGGACCAATCCCCCAGACAGATTTTTGCCCCAGATCACTAAGTAGCCCCTTCAAGGACTGAACTCACAATCCTGGGTTTAGCAGGCCAATGCTCAAACCACTGAGCTATCCCTTCCCCCGTCGGGAACTGTCACGGGTAGGGTTACCATACGTCCGGTTTTTCCCGGACATGTCCGGCTTTTCGGCACTCAAATCCCCATCCGGGGGGAATTGCCAAAAAGCCGAACATGTCCGGGAAAATGCCGGCCAGGCACTTCCCCTCCCGCGGCGGCTCTGCTCCTCCCCTGATTCTTCGGCTCTGTTTAAGAGCCGAGCTGCCTGAGCGCTATGGGCTTCAGGCAGCCCCCTTGCCTCCGGACCCTGTGCCCCCGGCCGGGCACTTCCCCTCCCGGGCTCCGGCGGCGCAGGGTCCAGAGGCATGGGGGCTGCCCGAA